GCTGCCTCGAGGCCTTGGAAGAGGCTGGAGGAGCCTGCACCCGAGGACTCCCACGCTGGACGAGGCTCTCTGAGCCCCAGGTCCCAGGGCAGCGGGCCCCCTGTCTCCTGGGCAGCCTGAGTGTCCCCAGCTAAGGGCTCCTGGTGGACAGAGCCTCTCCGACACCCAGAGTGTCTTGATCCCCACGCGGTCTGTCACCAGAGCTGAGGCTGATTCTGCTGCACCAGCTTCTCTGGAGGAAGTTCTGTCCTGGACAGCACAGGTCTGTGTGCAGGACTTGTCCAGATTCCCTCTGTGACCTGGGACACAGAAGCTTCCACCTGACCTTCAGAGTTGCAAATACAAGTTTGGGAGCTAAGCGCAATGCTCCTCCCACCAGTGGGGGATGAGCCCTGGACTGGTAGGCCTCAGTGTACATGCGACCCGGGGCTACCAGCCTATCCCTGTCCTCTCCCTGCCACCGCTGCCCTGAGCACAACTGGCACCCACTGCCCACCGTCCCTTCACCCGCCTGCTGCCCCTGCACCTCCACGTGCCTGCCTGCCTGCGGGGAAGTAAACACAAGCGCACTGAGAGGTAATGACGTGCCTGAATCCTCCTGAGGGCTGCACAGCCCTAGCCTCGTCTCACATGCCTAGATCACACAGAGGGGTCACCCTGGTGACTCAGAGGACTCTCCTGAGTGCTCACAGGAGGAGGTCACCCAAAGAGCTAAACGGGCGCCCGCGAGCCGCTAGGCTGCCCCCTGGTGGCCGTGTGGGAAATACACAGGAGAACAGCTCAGCGATGCCAGGGCAGTTAGCGATCAGGACTAAATCGCACCCCAGTGTCACTCCGAGAGCCGATGGCCGAGGGGGGACAGAAGCAGTCACACGCTGCTGGTGGTGTCACTGGCAGGAGCTGAGGTTGTGCTGCAAAAGGGAATGCTGGGGGCGACTGTGCCTTTTGGATTTGGTCACGTTGTTCAAAGCAACGCCTGGCCCTAGTGGCCCTTGGTTAAAGATCTGGAGCCAGGGGCACAGGGTCACACCTGTGGTTCCAGGTGCTGGAGAGCACGAGGTGGGATCTGAGAGCAGCCTGTGCCACACACCAAACTCCATCTGGGAAGAAAGAGAGGAAAGAGGAGGGACAAGGAGGAGACAGACAGATAGACTATAACAGAGTCTAAGTTTAAAAAGCAAATTGTCAGTCAAACAATCTAAACCAAGCAAGTGGCAGAAGACCTGGGACTTCCCTCCTGGGCGTCCACTCAGCTGCGCCCCTCTCTAATTTACCTTTTATCACAGCCTGCTGTCACAATGCACATGTTTGTTTCCTCCCTGGACACAAAGTTCCTTGAGGGCAGGGAGGACTGAAACTGCTTCCTAGCACTGTCACCGCCACCCAGCACCCCACACAGCAGGAGCCTGGTGAGGACCGGGACGTGTGGGCCAACAGGGAACAAATGAGTGGCTTGGAGTTTCCCTCACTGACGATCTTCAAAGCAGGGTGGCAAGCATCTCGCCCGTCTGGTCCAGGACAGCACTGGCCTGCCCAGGGCTGAGGGCTGGGCCCAGGACTCCCATCATTGGATTACACCATGATACTGGTTCTCAGGCCTTCTCTCTCCCTGACCACATACTTATTGCCTATGTTATGCCCAAGGCACAGGGCTATTGTTCCATAGACCTGTGATCCTATCTATTATGTAACCCCATGACTCCGTGTTGACATTGGATGTGACCATGTCTCCACTATATTCACCCATGGGTGAGGCCCGCCACGGCAGATGGACAGGAGTGGGAACTGTCTACCCTGAGGTCAGCTGGCACAATGGGCCTCCCTGTGTTAATACTCCACCCGCTGTGTCCCACGCAGGCTCCTGTCCAGCTAAGAGACATGGCATGCTGAGTGCCAGTACCCACCACCTATTAATAGGCCTTCAATTCCCAGGTACCTCACGCCTCCTCCTTCTCCCTCTCACTCTCCCACCTGTTACTTCAAAAGGACTGGTTTGGAGCCAAGCAGTCCTGCACCTGGTCTTGACTTTGATATGCCTTAGACAGGAAGTGGCCTCTCCCAGAGCTCAGTGGTTTCCTTTGTGTCGGTGGAAGGCAGACTGGCCTCAGACTCACAAGCCTCCTGCCTCATCCTCCAGTAGTTGGAATTACAGTTACCCTCTATCATGCCTGGCTTTAGAGTAGCTTTCTAACCTGCGAAATGGAGCTACTGATTTGTCTTAGAGACGTAAAGAATACAAAAACAGGCATGGCCAAGTCCCTATCTTCAGAAGCTTGTACTTTATATGAAGAGAAAGATGTGGAAACCCACGTGACATGTGGAGTTGTGCAATGTGGTGTCAGGAGCGCTAGCTGCTTACTTAGGCCACACCAGGAACTCAGTTTCCTTCCTTTTCTCTCTCTTTTAACAACATTTTTTCCCCAGGAAGCTGAGACAGGAGGATCGTTGCAAGTTTAAGACACAAAGTGAGCTCAAGGCCATCCTGAGCTGTACAGTGAGACCCTGTCTCAAAAGGACAAAAAAGAGCCTGTCATGGTGGTGCATGCTTGTAATCCAAGCACTTGGAGGCTGAAGTGGGAGGATCTTGCAAGTTTGAGACCAGCCTGGGCTGCAAAGTGAGCTCAAGGTCAGCCTGAACTGCACAGTGAGACTCTGTCTCAAAAAGACAAGAACATTTTTTTTTTCTCTTTCCTTCCCCAACTAACAACTTTTCAGTGGCCTGGGAGGCTGTGAGGGTTAGTGTGAGTCCAGACTGCTTTCTTCTGTCCCATCCCATACTCCCATGCCTCTCTACCAGGTTACCCAGACAGGATGCTCCTCATCCTGGGTACAGTTCTAACGGGAGTTTTCAGACAGGAGCTCCTGAACCTGCACCAAGACCTGCCTTCATTTCCCCAGCCTACCTGTCCAACAACATCTTTTCCTCCAGGTAAGAACCCCTCACCCGGACTATTTCAATCTATCTTCTTACCATTCGTTAACGGACTCAGCCAGTAATAAGACGCACATTCAGCGTCCAGTGTGGCCCAGCCATTGTATTTGGGTTCCACAGACCCACAGGGGCAGAGTGAGGGCTGCTGGTTACAATCAGGAGTTGCTAGCGCACACAGCACACCAGAGTTCCCATCCCCGTTCTGTACCTGTCCCCTGTGTGACCTTGCATGAGTCACTACCTCTTCAAGCCCTGTTCCTCTTTTCCTTAAAATGCTGATAAAATATGGGGGCTGGGGGTTTAGCTCAGCGGCATAAGCACCTGCCTTGCAAGCAGGCGGTCGAGAGTTCGATCCCCCGTACCGATAAAAATGAAAAAGACAAAAAAAAAAAAAAAATGCTGATAAAATAGCGTTACTGTGCAAATTAAGAGAGAGTTGAATCCACAGGACCTTTAGCGAGACTGCCCCGGGACGGGAGGCATGCACAGAAGAAGCTGCAGTGCTCAGTAGCAAAATCACTTTTATAGGGCAGAGTCCCCAGAAACAGATTCAAGTAAACTTTAATCTCGGCTGCTGGAGAGGCTGAGGCAAGAGGACTGCAAGTTGCTGGCCTATACGGACATTTTGCACAGGTATTGGAGAGGCCTCCACGGGCAGAAACGACTGCAGAGGGAAAACCCACAGGGGACCAGGGGCCTGCCAGCCGCTGGGCACCTACACGTTCCAGTGCCCCCGAAAGTAGCAAGCCCCTCAAGAGGAAGGCACAGGGCGCCGGGCGGCTTCTGCGCATGCGCGGCGACTCCCGCGCCTGCGCCGTGCTGCAGTTGAGGCGCCCTCTCCCGGCCCTCCTCCTGCGCAGGCGCCCTCGCTGCAGGTCCGGGTGGCGGATTCCCACCCGCTGCTGTGAGCTTGGCGTCTGTTGCCAAGCCAGCGCGTTGGGATTACTCATGTCGTTACTTAGTTATGTGCTTCCTCACTACGTGTGATGTTGTTCAGCCTGGCGCGTCAGTCCTGCCTGTCCTGGCTTCCTTTTCATCTGCCCGCCTGTTTAAACGGCCTTCTGCGCCTTCCGGCGTTGTGGGCTTGGGGAGGGGCCGGTATCGTACCCGGATCAATGAATGAATTGACCTGAACTGGTGAATTTGGCCAGCTCCCGGGCTATTAAATTCTACTAGTCTTACCCCTGGTCTTTTTACCATTGTTTTGTTTGCTTATTTATTGAGACAACCTCTTCCTGTTGGCCAGGCTCCTCTTGAACTCTTGGACTCTAGAGATCCTCCCGCCTCAGCCTCCTGAGGAGCCGGTATAGGCAAGCACCACTGTAACTGGCTACCTCTACAACTCTTAGGCGTTCTAAGATTATTCTTTACCCCTAAACTTAGTTTGGTTCTGTCACCTGTCAGTTTTAATGGGAGTAACCACATAAGTGAACTGTGTGTCCTGTGGGTGGATTGAAGGGCATGCCCTGCAGTTTCTTTGAGGCCGGCTTCGGCCCCACCCCTGGTGAGGCACTTGACTGACATTAAACCATTAGGACGTCCGGACTCCAGTCCTTTTAGTTTGACTGTCTCACTGAGTTGCCCAGACCCGAGGAGCCAGGATTGTAGGTGTGCACCTGGGGAACATGCATCTCCCAGTGGGCTGGAGTGGGCCAAGTTATCTTTCACTGACCTTTGAAGCTCCAGGAAGAGCACCCAGGTCAGGCCGAAACTGGCACAAGACTTGCCTTAGGAAGGGGTACACGTGCCTCTGGAAATTGATCCCCTTAAAACTGCCCACTGCCCCTCAGCAGCCTGCGTGTGCCCCAGAGGTATGCAGACCATATGCCATTAAAGAAATGCCTAACTTGTGTTCCCATTCGTCAGCACAGGGGCCCCAGAAAGGCGGAAATGAGGGGCAGATATCCTGGCAACCTTGGCAGACGCATGTCCAGTCCTTCCCTTGCACCTTTGCCTGGCCCGGGGGCAGGGCAGGAAGTCAGATTACTTCCGGATCTCTGTAAATTTGGGGCTGGAAAGAAGGGATCTGAATATCAGAAACTTAATCGTTGTAAAGAAGCATCTCAGATTCAGAATTAAGAAAACATTTTTATTCTTTCCATTTCGCGGACTCTCCGTGGTTGTCGACCGGTGGGTCCCAGCTGTAGACCACCAGGTGGCAGCAGGGAGCGCTGCTGGGGGCCCTGTCCAGCGTCACAGACCCCAGGCATCCGGAGGAGGTGGAGGCAGGGGCAGGGAGAGGAGCGGGTGAGGTAGGAGTGCGTGCTTTGGTGTCGGAGAAAAACAGAAGGGGACGTGCGGGCTAAATGTGGGTCCCCGGAGGGGACTAAATACTAAGGACGCCTTCATGTTCAGAACAAAACTGAGGGAATGAGGAAAGGAATAAGGAGTCAGACAAAACTGGAGTTTAAAAGGAAGCAGAAGGGTAGAGATGGCCTGGGTGCGCTCTGCCTGGGGACCCTGTCATCTGTGCTCTTCCCGGGGTGGGTCAAGCTCTGGCTCCTCAAGAGGGTGGTGGTCTACCTCGGGGGCGGGTGGCCAGGGGTTTTCTGGGGGCTGAGGTCCTGCCGGCCAGGGATCATCAGGCCGGGGAGGCTGGGGGGGATCGGTGCTAGGGGGCTGAGGTGGCCACACCCCACTGTCAGGCAGGTCTGTCCAGGGATGGCTGGGGCCTGGGGGTGGGGGGTCCTCAAAGAGAGGGGGTGCCCCTGGCCAGGGATCCCCGGGAATTGGAGGGCCGTGAGGCAGTGGTGGGGGCCCCTCCTCTTCTCTGGCCTCTGCAGATCGGGGAGCCGGGTGGTCCTCACTGCCTGAGATGCCTGTCCAGGAGGAACAGGAAGAGGTGGTGAGGGTCTGATCTTCACACCCCAGCTCCAGGCAGGAGACAGAGCTCCTCTACGAGGGGGACACAGCCTGAGCTGAGCCCACGAACCTCAAAGTGGCCCTCAAAGCACTCGTCCTGCTTCTCCCACGCACGAAGCAACTCCAGGCTGCTCTGAACCGCGGTTGTGCAGCCTTTACCTCCTCTCCCTCTGATAAACCACGCCCCAACTGGGACATCCCAGGCCTGGGCCTGGACTGGTCTGCACCGAAGTGGTCTATAGCTGGGCCCAGGAGCTCCCAGACCACCCCTGCAGGGACCCCACTAACAGCCCCTCACTCCAGTGAGCACTTGTCCACACTGCTGGTCCCCGCAGTTGGTCCACAGCCTCACTCAGACCAGCAGAATCTGTATTTTGACAAACTGCAGCTGCTTGCTTCCCCCCAGCCTCCTGCACTGCAGCTGCCCAGTGTAGCCCTTCCTTCTTAGTGGGTCACCTTCACCAAGGTGCCCTCAGCCACCCCCTCACCCTACAGCAGCTCCTGGTGTCTTCCCGGCTCACCTCCAGCAAACAGGCAAAGGACCAGGACCCCCACGAGTGTCCAGCTGAGCTTCATGGCCATCTACTGGTCCCCAAAGCTGGGGTGCCGAGTCTGGGTGCCTGGGATCCCCAAGAGCCTTTATAGGGCAGGAGGCCAATCTATGGGGAGGGGCTGCCCAGGGACACAGGAAATCCCAATGGGACCTGACTGGTCAAACCTGTTTGAAACCCCAGCCAGAGGTAGCTATGGTGGCGTCTCTTATTTGAGGCCCCCAGCCCAGCAGCCGGCCGCTGGCTCTCCCAATCATGACCCGGGTCCTGGGTCCCTCCATCCTCATCTTCATAACCCACCCCACCCACAACCTGCAGCGATACCCAACTGCCGTCTCCATGCTCACAGGAACCCAGCCTTTCTCCCCCTTGATAGTCACCATCAGAAGCCAAAGGATGGGAGTGAACCTGGCCCAGAGCAGCGTGGGGAAGCGTGGGCCCTAATTACAGGGTTCGGGCAGGACGCAGGCTGCAGCCCCCTTCCCGTGGCCGTCCTGGGCTTCCTTCTCCACCCGGCACCCTGCTACTTTCCTTCCACACTCAGGTCCTCCTGAGCAGTGGCAGGGGCAATTCCCAGGGCCGCCCAGGTGACCAAGGTGAGGACAGAGGAAGAGGACATCCCGGTTCCTCCCCGCTCGGCGCTGGCTGCATCAGTCACTGCCAGGCTTCTCTACCTGGCCTCTTCCTCCTGGCAAAGGGCCCCTGCCCAGCCACCCAGGGCCTCAGTTCCAGGGCTCCCCCAAGTGCCCGTTCCTGCTGGGTCAGCTCTGCCTCTGATGTCCTCCTGTAACTCAGTAGTGGCCATAGTTCCCCAAGTTGCTCCCAGCTGGCCTCCCTCACCGGGAGGTGGGCCTTCGGTCAGCCAGACCCCCAACTGCATCCTGGACCATCCCTGCCCGGGCGCCCCCCACTTCCAGCTGGCTCCCCTTCCTATAACCCACCCACAGACCTCTTAAAAATGCAAATCTAGCACAGTGGTGGTGTAACCCTGTGGCCTGCATTCCCAGGTCATGGGAGGCTGATGCAAGAGGCAAACCCATGGCACGTGAGCCACAGCAGGCTGCTTGAAAGCTAAAAGGATCATGGTCACTGCCCTGGATGTGATAGTTAAGACCTTCCCTTTAAAAATAAGAGAAAACAGGCTGGATGTGATGGTGTACACCTGTATCCCAACACTCAGGAGCCTGAGGCAGGAGGATCTCTGAGCTCAAGGGCAGCCTGGCCTATATAAGACCTTGTCTCAAAAAAATCAGTAAGTAAACTGGGTGTGGTAGTGTACACTTGTAGTCCTAGCACTTAGGAGGCCAAGGCAGGAGGATCACTGCAAACTGGAGACCAGCCTAGGCTACACAGTGAGACCCTAACTCAAAAAAGACCAAAAAATAATAATAATAATAACCCGAATCACATCAAGATTCTAAAAAGGCTCCAAGGCTTTCTGTTGACACAGAATAAAATCCTAACTCCTCGCTTAGCAATGGCTTCTCCCCAGCAGCCAGCATCCTGTCCCCGGCTTGGGCCTCAGCAGTCACTTGTTCCCTCCCAGTCATCTCTCTATCTCACTGCTCCTCCTGGCATTTATCGGCTGCGCTCCTTTGTCCTGAGGTTCCCCCTCCACCCCCAGACAGGATCTCACTATTAGCCCAGGCTAGCCTCGAACTCATGGTGACCCTCCTGCCTCGGCCTCCTGAGTGCTGGAAATCCAGGAGTGCGCCACCAGGCCCAGCCACCCTGAGGCTGTCTTCCTGCTCTCCAGGACAGTTCACCACTGGACAGTGCCAGCAGAGGCTGCTGAATGGGTGAGTGCGTCCCTCCCCTCCCCAGCATGTGTCACATCCCAGGGAAAACGAGCCAGTATTTACTAATTTTTTTGTTACTAGACATTGAACCCAAGGCCTTCGCTAAGCCACATCCCCAGCCCTTGTATTTTTCTGGCCTTGATCTTCCTGCCTCAGCCTCTTGGAGTGCTGGGATTACAGGATATGGCACCACAGCGGGCTAGGAAGATATTTTTTTGGTACTGGGGGTTGAACTCCCAACTCTATGCTTGCCAGGCAGGCGCTTAGGCCACTGAGCTAAACCCCTGGCCCTGGCTAGAAAAGTTTAAGGCAAAAGGTGAGAATAAGGAAAAACAAGTGCTTCTCGGAGCCTCTCCAAAGGGGCCGGGGAGGGCTCTGCGGGGAACCGCTCTCACGCGTGCCCTGGCCCCTCCACTGAAGTCTCTTTATTGGTGCACAGCTCAGGTCTAGCAGAGGTTGGAATCGGACACAACAGGGCCCATCCCACTCTCCAGCACCGCCTCTGGGGACCCAGCCGCCGGGCCATGGCCACTCCCGCCCCCAGCTGCCCAGCCGTGGACTGGAGCAGGAACTCGATGGCTGTCCCCCTGGCAAACAGCCTCTTCCTTGGTAATGGTCTCGCCAAGGCCCTGCAGGTTGTCCAGCAGCACAGCCAGTGACCCTGGGGAGGAGATGCCAGGGATGATGGGAGCGCAGGTGGGAGGGGTCCTGGAGGGCGCCCCAGGCTGGTGCTCCCAAGCCCCACCCTGCACTGAGCCCATCACCTTTTCCGGGCTTCCTGGGGGACGGTTCGGCCGCCATGGCACCTGAAGGCCTGGAGCTTGACTCCACCGGCTTCCCCTCTTCTGGTGGTGGGGTGGGAAGAACCGCTAACAGGCGCTGCTGCTTGTAACGGGAGAGGAGACCCTCCTGCTGCAAAGTGGCCTGGGAAGGAGAGCATCAGATGTCACCCCGCTTTCCACACCTTCACCCACCCCAGCCTTGGACCGGCCCCAGGGCAGCCCCGGCCCAGTGTCCCTACCAGCATGAGGTTCTTGTCCCGCTCTAGCTCCTGCAAGCGCCGGCCCAGCCGCTGCCCCTCCTCCTTCCGAGCCTCCTCCTGCAGACGCCTCAGCTCCTGGTTCCGCTCCTTCTCCCGGGCAGCTGTGCACTGCATCTGGCGCAGGGAGACCACTGTGGAGACGCCGGGCACACGGCAGGTGGGGTCAGCCCAGGGGCAGCGAGGCCCAGGCCTGGGGGAGCACGGCCCCTGGTCGGGAAGCTGCTCTGCTCTGAGATCTTAGTGTCTCCTCCGTACAGTGGGGGCGGGAGCAGCTGCTTGGGTCCCCTCACATCTGTGACCCCAAAGCACCTACCCGCCCTGACCTCCAGAGTTCCTTAGGGGGCTGAACAGGCGCTGCAGGTCGGACCTTAGCGCTCGTGGCACCTACAATTTTTTATTTGCAGGAGACACAGTGCAGTCTGTCTGCAACCCAAGTGATTCAGGAAACATGTACACAGACATGTGTGTGCAGGCATGGCATGGGGAGCGGGGACAGCCATCCCGAGTCACCGGCCAGCTACCTGGCATTTGGTGGGGCAGCTGCTGTGGGGCATGGAGGGCACAGAGCCCCTGACTCTGTGCGATGTGTCTCGCCCGCCGCCCTGGCACCGGCCACACAGCATGCTCAGCAGGGGACAATCACTGTGCTGCCCCCACCCCAAGGGTCCCGTCCCCAGTGCATCGCACCCGCCTTGGCCTGCTCCCTCCGCGCCTCCTTCAGTCTCCTCTCTGCATCCGACAGCTGCTCCCGCAGCCGGGCCTCCACTTCGGCCACCTTCTCCTGCAGAGCTGGGATAAAGGTAGGGAGGGGACATCAGGAGAAGCCCCTCTCTCTCCAGGGGGGCATCCTCGGCACCGCCGTCCCTGCACCTCTTGCGTAGGTCTCCTGCTGCTGGGTCAGCTCCTGCCGGAGACTGGTGGCCTCCAACATGCTCTCCTGCTGGCCCTGGCGAGCGGCTTCCAGCTGCAGCCCCACGCTGGCCAGGGACTCCTGGGCGCACTGCAGCTCCTGCTCCAGCTGCTGGGCCACCTTGCTCAGCTGCTGCCGCTCCTCCTCCCCTGGGTGGAAGCGAGGTGCTTGCTCAGGCCTCTCCCCAGAGCCCCACCCCACCCCTCGAGCACCTCCCCAGGCCTACCTTGCTCCCGTGCCCGGCCCACCTCCTGCTGGATGAGGCGGGCACTCAGCTGCAGCTCCGCACCCAGGCGGTTCCGCTCTTCGCGAAGCTGCTGCAGCTCAAGGCACTGGCTGGTATCAGCTGGGGGTGCAGGTGCAGGGCAGCTGGACAGGGAGGGGAATGGGCACAAGAAGTCACCCAGCCTGACCCCAAACATCCAGCACCCTAAAGCTGTGCCCCCACACACCACCCCCTCCACCTCACAGCACCCCAACTTCACCTCTCCAGGCGCAGCTGAGCCAGGGCCAGTTTTCGAGCCATCAGGCCTAGGGGGGGTCAAAAGGCAAAAAAAGCTGGGTTTGCAGGGGTTGAAAGGGGAGACAGAGGAGCAGAGGGGAAAGATGCAGGGACTGGTGAGCAGGAGCGTGGGGGTGGGGCGGGGCCAGGGAGAGCTGGGCCAGGGTGGTGGGGCAGGTGGGACACTGCTCCACCCACCCTGAATGGTGTGCACCTTGCGGGTAGCATAGCTGAGTCGGTGGCTGAGGCTGGGAAGCCGGGCTACAGCCTGTTCCAGCTTCGTCATGGTGCTCTGGAGGCCCATCTGGCAGCTGGAGGGGACACAGGACACTGACCTGCCAGCCTGGCTCACCCTCAAAGGGCCTGCGGGGCCTCAGACGGACCAACTGCCCATCCTGTGCTACACACAGGGAGGAGGCAGGGGAGGGCACAGGACAAGGACGGAAGCAGAGGCATGGGAGGGGCAGTGCTTTGGCAGGTGCTGGAGCTGCTGTGCAGTGTACCCCAGGTCCTTAGCAGGTGCCAAGAGAACAGCAGCAGAGACAAAGGCGAGGATCTGAGGGCCTTTGCCAGCGTCCAATGCAAAGGACGGGTTAGCCGGGGCGGGGCACACGCTGTACCCTCAGCTCTCTGGAGGCTGATGCAGGAGGACCACTGCTCTTGTATCTAGGTGTCCTCCCAAAGCCTCATTCACTCACAGGTGACCCTGGCTGTGGTGCTGCACCGGGCTGGCCAGGCAGATTTTAAATTGACCGCTAAGTTCACCTCTTACAACCTGATCACTGTCTGGGCCACTGCAGCGGGACCCACGGGCTCCGGAAGAGAGACACGGACACTGGGAGAGGCCAGCGTATGCAGGGCTGGGCCGGGGCTTCCTTGAGGAATTCAGGCCTCCACCGGCAGCAGAACAAGGGTAATGGTGCTGGCTGAGCAGTGAAGGGTGCCTTCATCAGGGACAGAAGGCACCCCAACACTGAGGGCAGGAGGTGACTGTCCAGCTTTTCCAGACAGACTCCAGGCCACCCAGAGCCTCAAGAACAAACCTGACATCACCTCCGATTTCCATCACTTACGCCTGGAGGGGTGCTTGGTGATAAACCATTAGCAAAACCACTCCTCGATCTCCCAGTCCCAAAGTTAGAGTCCAGGCCAGGTGAACCTGTCTGTTCTAGCAGTGAGGGTGAACCTCTGAACACGCAAGCCACAGGGCAGGCGACACACAGTGTACGGTGTGTGGGCAAGAGTTCCCCAAATTCATTTAATTCTGACAATTAGTATGAGCTAGCCTTGAACTAAACAACAATCCTCCTGTCTCCTGAGTACTGTCATACAGGCATGTGCCACCACTGTGCCTGGCTAAGATTTTTTTGTTTAAGACAGGGTCTTGCTATGTTATTTAGGTTGGTTTCAAGCTTACAGTGATCCTCCTGCCTCAGTCTCCCAAGTGCTAGGATTACAGGTATGTACCACCACATCTGGCAGAGTTTTTAGAATTTTTAAAAGTGAATCAGCCCCTTAGGGGCTGGGGATTTAGCTCAGCAGCATAAGCGCCTGCCTTGCAATTGTGCAGTCGTGAGTTCGACCCCTGGTACCGATAAAAAAAAAAAAAAAAGTGAATCAGCCCTTAAGGTTCAAATCCAAGAAAACAGTAATGGAAGCGAGGATCCAGCCTGCATCATAATCTTACAGAACCCCAAACTGTCCCCGCTCAATTGTTCAGAGCCGGCCTCTGTGCTAAAGGCCACACATGGACAGCCTGGCGTGGGCACTGGACTACTGGGGCAGCGGCTGTTACTGGGTTTTGTTTTTCCGTGGCACTCTCGCTGCTAAAAACGATGCAACAGCTGTCAGGAACAGACAATTGGAAATTGGCATGAGACATCGGCTTGGGACTGACTCAGGACTGCGGTGTACATTCAGGTGGCACCCAGTAAGCAAGGAGGGGCAGCTTTGAAAAGACAGACTAACATTTCTTCCCAAACAGCACACTCCTATAAGATGGCAGAGAGGAAGCAGAGCATAGCGCGTGCTTGTAATCCTAACAGCTCTCAGCAGGCTGAGGCAGGCGGGTTTGAGTTTGAGACCGTGTCTCAAAACAAACTAGAGAAAAAAAAAGTAGAGAGAAGAAAAAAAGGAGGGGGGGCACATCAGGCATCACATCTGCAACAATTAAGGATGGTTAAAGCAGGGACCCCCTCCGGCTGCCTCTCTTAGCTCGGGTCAGCCCCCCCAGCTGCAGGGAAGCAGCAACCTCACCTCCAGCTTGGGGCACACAGGGCCGCCTCAGGGAAGCCACACACAGCAGCCGCCAGAGGGCAGCACACATCCAGCCAGGCACTGCAGCTGCAAGCTCCCCTCACCAACCTGAAGAAGGAACTGGGGGACACACACCCCTCTGCCCCCACACCTGCTGACTATGGCGACCACTAGCTTCAGCTGGTCCTCTGCTGAGGCCGTCTGCTGCTGCTGCCGCCGCTGGGCCTCCTGAGCCCGATTCAGCTCCATATGCAGGGCCTGGGAGATTGAGGTAAAGGGCAGGGTTCTCCTCCTGGAGTGCAGCCGGCAGACCCAGCCTGGCGCCCCCACGTCTCTCACCAACCTTGGCACCCACGCGCTCCACCTCCACCTCCGCAGCTCGGTCCTCCAGGGCGCGCTGCAGGATGGCCTGCTCCTGGCTCTGGGCTGTCACTTGTTCCTGGAGCTCAGCCACCTAGTTCGGGACAGGACACTTGGCAGACTCCCACAGCCGCCCCTACCAGGCCACTGCCGGCAGATGCATGGCCTGTAAGAGGCTTCTGTGTCAGGGGCTTCTTTAAGCACACAGCCTTGCTCGATATTCCGTTTGTCCTGTACTAAGTCTCCCTGCTAGAACACGTGTGCTCACACAGTACCAATTTGTCTGTGTGACTCAGGCTGAGTCCCCGCATGTGGGAATCATTCAGTCACTTACTAATTTTTTATTTATCTTTTGCTTTTGCACTGAGCTAAAGCCCCAGCTTTTTTTCTTTTCTTTTCACTTTTTGTTTTGAGATAGGGTCTTGCTAAGTTGCCCCGGCTGGGCTGGAACTTGTGATCCTCCTGCCTCTGACTCCTACAGAGCCAGGATTACAGGTGTAACCGCCATGCCTGCTTCACCAAGTATTTACTGAATGTCACCCTTGTGCAAAGAGGAGCAGGGCCACCAACCTGTCCCCTCAGCAACTTCTCCGAGTCTCTGTGCTCCAGCTCCTGGGACTTGAGCTGCACCAGGAGGGCAAACACCTTCTCCCGCCAGAGGTTCAGCAAGGACTGGTGCTTCACAGCAAACTCTGGCTCCAGGCAACCTGGAGGAGGAGCCTGTGGGCAGAAGAAAGTGTGGCTCTTAGCAGAGGAGAGGAAGAGATGCTGTCCCTGGCTTTTTTCTGTCCCGCTTGAGCAAGAAGTCACAGCAGGTGCTGGTGGCTGCGGAAAGGGAGACCCAGTCGGGGTGCAGCTGCGGTGGTCCTGGCAGCACACCTGGCCCTGGTCCCCCCAGGATCCCTACCTTCCTGGTCAGCTCCTCCTCCTGCAGGGCGAGCATGTGCACCAGGCTCTGTACGCGCACCTGCAGCAGCTCAGCAGTGGCGCGCAGGCTGGCGCGGTCCTCCTTAAGGTGCTGTGGCAGGCAGAATGAGTCTCAGGGCCCCTGTGCCTCTGCCGACCCCGAACAGCACTGCCTTCCTCTCCAGGACCATGTCCCTCTCTGCAAGGACCACACCAAGCCCTGCCCCAATGCCCCACAGCCCTGCCGCAGCTGCACCCCGACTCTCTCCCACCTGCACGGCATCCAGAAGCTCCTGCCGCTCTGGTTCCCACACCTGGCTGCGGGCCTCGGGTGGGACCTGCTCCCCGACGTATTTCCGAAGATTCTCAACAAGGGTCACCTGAGCCTCCAAATCTTCTTGGGTCTTGCTAGGGTTGGGGCAGAAACACAGCAGCCATTTGTGGGGCATCCAGGAGACCCTCATGGTACCAACCATTGGGACCCCTTCTGGCACCCCCACACTGACCTCAGCTGCCCCCGAAGCAGCTCAGCCTCCTTCTGGGTAGTGGCCAGCTCCTCAGCTTCCCTGGCCCTCCTGGCCTCTAGGCTACTCAGAGACTTCTCCAGGACCTCAGCCTTGCTGGTCAAACTGGCCAGAGCCTGCTGGTGAGCCTGCCTCAGGGAGGCTAGCTGTGGAGAGAAGAGTGAGCTCAGTGGGGCCCGGCTCACCCCACCATCAGGGCCTTCTGAGCCTATCCTTCTTGGACCTTGACCTTCCCCTCCCACTCGTGACCACAGAGAATGTCCGTGCATGCCTACGCCGCCTGCTCCTTCCACCAGTGCAGGGACTCAGGCCATCTGGTTACTGGGCTATCTGGACCAGCCAGCTGCTGGTCCAGCACCAGCAAAGAGCAGCAGAGTTTCCAGCTTGAATAGCCCTCCCCAGCCCACTTCCTCACTGCTGTTTAGGAGGTTTCCAGATGATTCAGGTGCCTGGGGTAAAATGGGTCCAACCAGAAGGGGAAGGAGGTCTTCATGACGGGAAGCCATCTGAGTCCTGAGAAACCAGCCCCAAAGACCAGGCTCTCTTGATTCTTACGGACCTGGTTTACTCCTTTGCCAGAGCCCTCCACGGCTCCGGGGGCCCTCTCTGTGACACCCGTTCACCCTACCCAGCTCCATGTCATGAATCTGAACCCCTCCTGCCCGAGTTTACCTGCTCCTGGTGCAGCCTCTGCACCTCCTCCAGCTCCCGCTGGCTGCCCTCTTCCAGGTTTTTCCGGACAACCTCAGCCCCAGCCAAGGCAGCACGCAGGCCCTCGGCCTCAGCTTGGCCGGCCTTCTCCGCCCGCGCCAGGGCCTCCAGCTCCATGGCCTGGGCCTCCAGCCTCATCTTCTGCTGTAGTGAGGTCTCCCGCAGGCCACGCACCTCCTCTTCCAGCCGCCGCACCTCCTGCAGCTGCCGAGAGATGAGCTCCGCCTGCTGGCTCAGGGCCTGCGACCCTACCTGTTCCTGGGACCTTCAAACATAGACAGCAGGAAGGAGATGGCCCGGTGCAGAGAGGGTGGCCGTAGGGCAAGCGGCAACCATAGGAAGAGCAGCTCTCTGCTCACATGTGGGGAACCGCGAGGTGCAGCTGAGGAAGGTGGGTCTCTGTATTCAAGGCATTACTGTTAGGGCTCGTGGGACCTAATCGCAAGGCCAGGTGCTAGGCTGTAGCCCTTACTGACATCAAGAAACAGCAGTACTGAACCCTGGAGAGCATGCATCCTACGGGTGCCAACATGGCTCCTAAGAGCTCTCTGGTCGAGAGCCACATGACTGGATTTAGTTTTTTAAGTCAAGGAGATCCGCAGGCTAAGAACATTAAGTGACTCGGCAAAGACCCTAAACTCGAAACAGAACCTCTGTCTCCTGGCGCCAGCCTAGTACTCCTTGATCCTGTTACTTTAGGCTGGGCTAATGCCACTCTGGATTGGCAGTGGCAGAGTGTCAAGCTAGTACATTTGGGAACACGCACGGGTGAAACAGCATGAATGAGAATTTCCGTAATGTTCACGGACAGCACAGCACACGTTCAGCCCCGAGCTCAGAACAAACCCACGTACCACCATGCCAGGTCTCTCTGCCCATCATCTGGCTCTGAACTGTGCTTTAGGATTCGCTGCTAGTTAACTTCACCCTCTTTGAAACTTTAAATCTTTATTAATCAATTTTTGAGTTTTTTTGAGACAAAGTCTATGTAGTTCAAGATGGCCTTGAATTCACTATGCAGCCCAAAGCTGGGCTCAGATTCATGGCAGTTCTCCTGCCTCAGCCTCCAAAGTACTGGGAATACAGGTGTGCACCGCTACATCCAGTTAAATGCTTTATTAAGGGAGAATTTAAGTCAGATGCCTCTTACTCATTTTAGTTATTCCCATCTCAAATGTCTAACACACGACATTACTATTTATACAGTTGGTTAAATAACTGCCCATGTGAAAATGCACAAGTAGCCTGACATGATGGCGCACTCCTGTAATCCCAGCACTTGGGAGGCTGAGGCAGAAGAATTGTTTGCAAGTTTGAGACCTGCTTGGGATATAAAGTGAGCCCAAGGCCAGCTTGAAGCGCATAGCAAGACCTGTCTCAAAAAGACAAAAAAAAAGTACAAGTAACAGAACCAAGAGCCAGAACAGGATAAGGAACACATCTCAGTGAAGAAAGTCCCTAGCAAGCAACTCTCAGAATATGGTGGCAATGAGCTCTTACCTGCCTCTCCAACCTGGTCCACGATCACCATCAGAAACATCCCGTTCCCAAGCGGTCACCCGAGGCCTCTGGTGTCTCTCCGAACCATCTTGATGGGCCGGGAGCTGGAGGAGGGGAATGTCTGCGACCCGGGTTGGAGCCGCTCTGGGCTGAGTGGGATGGGGCAGAGCTTGGAAGTGGGAGGGGGGGACCAGCCCTGCGAAACCTGGAGGGTCACAAGACCAAGAAGTCAGTTCTGCAGGGAGAAGCGTGGATTCCCTCCAGATCTCCCTGGCGCCCCGCTGACCTGAAGGTGGCAGCATCTCTAAGGCATCTGATAGCTCTAGATTCACTCTCAAGCCACCTGCGGTCTCCTGAACAAGTGGACAAACAAGGATACTCCGATTCAGTTTCCAGGCCGCCTTCCCCAGAGAAAACTTCCACAACACAGTCACAAGCCATCAATTACAGCCAGGTCCCCACTCTAAGCAGTGCCCTCTCTGAGAGCGCAGGTGATACCCGCTCGCTTGTTCAGGCCTATCTCTGACACCCACGCCTGACGACCGAGCCTAAAGACCGCACCACGGAGAAAGTTTACTGCGATGTGCAGCCCGTGGGGAGGTCTCCGATCTACCCCTACTTTCAGGATTCTGAGCAGTGTTTTTACCCTCGTCAAGCTTCTCTGATCCCTGCCGCCGCGGGTCGGAGGTGAGAGCGGAGGCGCCCAGCGCAGGGGCCCCGCGGCCGATCTGCAGAGTCCTCGCCACGGCTCAGCAAGGCCCAGCGAAGGCCCAGCCAGGTACCACCGCGCCATGCGCCCCGCAGGGATGCGCCCCGCCTCCCCTCCGTGGTGATCCAGGCAGAGGAGGCCGTGGACAGAGACGCCAGTACCGCGACATCTCATCCAAGCCCCTCGGCCCCTCTCCAGCCACCCCCAACCCCACCCCTGCACCCAACCCCCCCTACCCCCCGCCCCCGACAACCGACGCTTCTGGAACGCCCCTCACCTAGCTCGAGCGTCCCTCGGCCCTGTGACCACACCCCTTGCACCCCGCTCCCGCCTCCCCCCCCCCCCGAGCGCGCCTGCGTAAGGCGGCTGGGTTGGCGGGCCGGGGGAAAAGCTCTATTTCACCAAGCAAGAAGGAGGAAAAGTGTGCGCAGGCGCAGGGGCGTCTAAAACTAGCCCAATTAACGCGTCCGACGCCTCCGCGCCCTGGCGACTCCTCCCTACCCGGGAACCCGGGAAAATTTATAAACCAATCAGAAAAGGCGAAAGTTGGGCAATGGGGGAGGCACCTACTCCGATCGTAGCCCAATAGAGTGGAGGAAGGTAAACGAAATGGCCAATCGGGAACGGTATGGGGCGGGCTCACTGGATCCGGGAATTCCGAAGGAGGGGTCGGCGCTGCCCGCGCGCGGAGCCCGCGCCCCTCCCTGCCCCGGCTTCCTGGCTGTCAAACTCCGGCGCGCCTGCAGACCCCGGAGGGCCGTCCTGGACCGAAGACAAAGACTGCAGAGCAGGGGTAGATCTGCAGCTAGGCTGAGGCAGGGAGGGAGAAGGCTGGGTTTGCCTTGCAGGGTCACGAGGAGCCCCTTCTGTGTTTATTCCACAGAGAGGCGGAAAGCAAAGGGTTAAATTGGCTTTATTGGTCTTTCAGGGCCCGACCGCGCTGCGACTTGGGGTTGACAGTGCATCCCCTCCCTCAGAGCTTTAGACGTGCGGAGGGGCTGTATTCGGAGAAGCGAGTTTGACAGCGGAAGTCAGGTCACCTGCCGTCCACACCTCCAGCCCGCCGGGCCCCATAGCTGCCTAATGTGTTCTTGTCTTGCACAGATTGGATGTTTGGGGCGCCCCAGTTCAACTGAGGTGCCCAGCTCTGCGATTTCTGCCCTGCACTGGACCTTCTCAGATTTTTAAGATCGGCAATCTGCTGAAAAGCCAGCTTTGCATTGAATTTGCACCATTCGGCTGTGCGCTCTAAGTTGGAATTGCACCGGGCGCGTCCCTCCTGCAGCAGACTGGCAGTGCCTGGCCCAGTCGCAGGGCCAAGCAATGGACTCCTAAGTGGAAGAGGTGTGCAGAAGAGGCACTGTCCATGCTGCCCTGCTTCCAGCTACTGCGAATCGGGGGTGGCAGGGGTGGTGATCTCTACACCTTCCACCCACCCACCGGGGCAGGCTGCACCTACCGCTTGGGCCGCAGGGCAGATCTGTGTGATGTGGCCCTGCGGCCCCAGCAGGAGCCTGGCCTCATCTCTGGGGTCCACGCGGAGCTGCATGCTGAGCGCCGCGGTGATGACTGGAGGGTCAGCCTGGAGGACCACAGCAGCCAAGGTAAGCCTGGCTGAGCAGGCTTAGAACCATGGGCTCTTCCAGGACCTATGCCACCTACCTCTCAGTCTGTGCTGCCCTAATTACCATCACAGTCAGCTCTCTGAGGACTGACCCTTGTTTCTCCTGTTTAGCTCACACTGGAGCTGGGAGGTCAGTCCACAGCCTGCAACACCAACAGGCAGGTGTCAAAGTAATGGCATTCTGGGACCAGGCTTGGGCTTGACTCAGTTTCCAGCCTTGTGGAGGTGCCCCTTTTTGTAATTGGGCAGTAATGGGTTTATTTTAAGGATCTGGGTATGTCTTTCTTCCCAACTCAAGACTGCCCAGGGGGGGGGGGGGAAAAAAAAAACTGTTCAGAGGCCTGGGCTCATGGTTTTCTGCCACTAGAACCTGGCAGAACCTCAGGTCTGATGCCTGACTGCTCCAGGTCTCAATCTTCTCTTAGGCAAACACAAGGCTGGGGAACTGTTTTGGGGGTGCTTCGAACATTAGGATGACAGCGTGGCCCACATTCACTTAGCACTTCCGGTTCTGAGCTAGACACCGAGACATTGACACCGGGGGCTCTGACAGCCTCTACCTACAGATGAGGAAAGCAGGTTAGCAAACGGAGCCGGAAGTGGTAGAGCCAGAATCTGAGCCACACTGCCCAGAGGAAGCATGAGAGCCTGGACCTCAGTGCAGAGGAAAGAGCCCCCTTGAGGGAGAGCACAAGAGAAATAAACTTGTCTCTTCCAACAAGGAGTTTGTGCGTGGCATCCTGGGCCAAAGGGTTCATAATGCACATGGGAACTGCTTGTCCTTTCCTGTGTCCCCCTGAAAGTCAAACAGGTCAGTTTCTTTCTGACTGGTCACTTCTGTTCTTGTCACTTGTGTCACGCCCCACCATTAACAGGGACTTTGGTCAATAATGTCCGGCTCCCCAGGGGCCACAGGCTGGAGCTGAGTGATGGTGACCTCCTGACTTTTGGCCCTGAAGAGCCCCCAGGTTCCAGCCCCTCGGAGTTCTACTTCATGTTCCAGCAAGTCAGGGTCAAACCTCAGGACTTTGCAGCCATCACCACCCCTCGGTCAAGAGAAGCCAGGGCTGGGGCTGGTTTTCGGCCCATGCTGCCCCCCCAAGGGGCCCCACAGCGGCCTCTCAGCACCGGGTCCCCTGCTCCAAAGGCCACACTGATCCTCAACTCCATCGGCAGCCTCAGCAAGCTCCAGCCCCAGCCCCTTACCTTCTCCCGGGGTGGGGGTGGGCCCCAGAGCCTGCCCATTCCCACCCCATCCCAGGACGGGGGGCCCACGCCAGGCCCACCCCCAAGAAACCGGAGGAAATCAGCTCACCGAGTGCTGGCAGAGCTGGATGACGAAAGTGAGGCTCCCCAGAGCCCCCCAGTGCTTCCAGAGCCCAGGAAGAAGCTCTGTGTGGAGAGGCCTCAGTAACACCCTGAGGGTAAGCAGAGGCGGGGTCTCCTCAGCCTCCCACCAGCTCTCACCCTTCCCTTTCCGTTCCTCTACAGAGCCTTAGGCTGAGAGGCGCCCTGCTTGGAGGTTGGGGGGGCAGGGTGGACAGAAGCAGGACATTGAATGGCCAGAGCAGAGTTAGCACTGATGGCTAAATATTTCCAGAGACAAGTTAGTTGACATAGGAATGGTGGTTAAAACTGGAGTGTTAAAAAAAATAGAACTGGCTGGTCCAAGCTACTTGGAGGCTGAGGTAGGAAGACCCCAAGTTTGAGACTAGCCTGGGTAAGTTGAGATCCTTATCTTAAGAAAAAAGAAAAAAAGCACAACAAAATAAAGCCTGCTGGGCTGGATCTCAGGATGTAGCTCAGTGACAGGGCTTGCCTAGCATGCGGCCCTGGGTTAGGCCCCAGTGTGGCAAAAAACAAAAGCTTGCCCTGTGCAGACAAGGAGCTCCTGCCCCTTTTTGGTGACTGGAGATGGAACCCACAGCTTCACTCCTGCTGGGCAAGGGCTGTACCTACCGTTGCATCCCTAAAAAGTTCCTACTTTTTAGGACTCTTCTTCTAATGCGTAGCAATGAGGATTAGACAGGCAGGGTGCTGGGCACCTATAGTCACAGCACGGAAGGCTAAAGACAGAGTTAAGGTCAGCAAGGGCTTCATAGGATGTTTGCCTCAAAAAAATGAAGGATGGGAATAAACTTCCCAGCTCACAGGAATCTATCCAGGTTCATTCACCCTGTGGTTATTTAGGGCTGAAATCTAGGCTTCTGCAGGTTTTCAGTGACAATGCCTTTGCACTTCCTTCAGAATATCGGGATATGGCCCTCTGTCCAGTAAACACTCAGCACCCCCATCCTGCTCCCCCTGCAGTTAGGAAGTGGGGTACCCTGTGCAGCCCCCCTTAAGAGACAGTACCCTGGGTATAGTGTCAGTACGTGCCTGGTGCTGGCTGTAGCACCCAAGCTGATAGGGAGGCCGACTTCCTTTCCCCTAGGTGGTGTGTGGGCATCCCGATCAGAGGCCAACTGCCAAGGCACCTGGGGATGGAACTGGCACCTCTAGTCCACAGTGGGACAATGGGGTACAGCAGGACCCTAAAAATGCTTCCCTTCTTCCTTCCCCCTGCAGGAGGTTATGACTTCAAGGAGAGGTTGCTGTGGGTACTGATTCAGGGCCTGGAGCAGGCCCTCGTGGCCAAGGTGACAAAAGCTAATTTCCTGCCAAAGAGGGTGTTGCTTCCATGAGTTGCCAGGAGCTGGAATGTGGCTGTTACCGGATGTAAGGCTTGTCACCATGGATGCCAGGAGTATCTGAGCAGCACCCAGCAATTGCAGAAGCCAGGCCTGGGGCAGTGGAGAGCTCTTCAGGATTTTGAATGGCACCACCTACAGTGTTCTGGGCAACTACTGCAGAGGTCCTTAACCTGGCTAATCCTGCTGCTGACCATGACCTCTGTGACCTGGGGCTGGTTTCCAGTCTATGCTTTAGCACTGATGGCTAAATATTTCTAGAGCTTTGCTTTTATTTCCAAATAAACAACAAGCAGCTTTATCTACTCCTGGGTACTTGCTCTTCTGATGTGCTTTGCTTCCCAATTCGTGGGCAAACAGAGTGGATGAGTGGAACTGCAGGAACCTGCTCACTGGGAAGGCGGTGGGGGGAAGAGCTAGAGGAGAAAACACTGGTGCGTGCTCACAGGCCCAGGACTCAGCAGCCATGGCAGGAGGATCAGTTCAAGGCCATTCCAGGGTGGACAGCGAGTTCATGGCCAGCCTGAGCAACACAAGGACCCTTGTCTTTAAAAACCTAAAACAATGTATTTGGACATGGCCAAGCTCATCGGATGACAGCTTTTATAGGGTTCACCATTACTAAGGGGGAAGAGAAGCTGGCAAACCAGCCACAGCAAGTACTAATGTGGCCCAGCAGACCTTCACCTTCTAACCAGGAATCCTGGCCAGTGTTGCAGAAGTATCACATTTCTCCTGCAGTTCTAAGAAAGCCTTGCACCTCCACCTGGGCTGTTGCGACTGACTGGACAGGCTTGTCCCCTCCTCCTTCAACTTCCCAACCCATGCTATCCCCTCATTAAGGAAACTGCTTCAAAGCAAAACCCTCTGATTCGCTGTTGACAGAGCCAGAAATGGGATGTTATTGGCCACACAAGCTGAGCAGGGTGTGGCAGTGCACACCCGCCATCCCCTGTGGGGATCCAGGTTTACTGATAGTTTGGGCAACTTACTAAGACCCTGTGTCCAAAATAACTAATGGGGTGGGGATAGAGCTCAGTGCAAAGGCTCCAAATCTAATCCCCAGCATAATGAATAGACTAGATGGAAGGATGGATGGATGAACACCTGGTGATTTAGCCCATTGCAGAGCCCTGGGTTCAATCCCCACTACCCCGCAAAAAAATGCGTAAAACATACCTTCTGGCCAGACAATGCATAGCAGAAACAGTTATTTGAGAACCTCATTTCTTAACGCAGAGCCCCCAAGGGCTCAAGAGTACCATGTCATCCAGGAAGCCAGCTCTGGACAGGAATGGACCACAGGTGCCCACATCTTTGGGTGGAGGTGTGGCACTCAGTTTAAACACTCCGGGACCCCAAGAGGCAGCGCCTGCCTCCCGGGGCCTCTAGAGTTAGCTTAGGCTCCAGCCCCAGCTCCTCCTTGGGCAGCATCTGACCTCTAACAGTTTGAGTGGCACTCAGTTTTGGGGTCCCTGGGGGTATGAGAGAAGTTAGTGTCCACCGTTGGGTTCTTCCATCTCTACTCCCTTTTCAGGAACTAAAGGAAAATCGGAGACCAAAGTATCTACTGTGCCCCAGGCTTCTTTATTTAAAAATCAAATGATGAGGGGATTAAAATCCAGAGCATCACTCAACTTCCGCTTCCCTCCGAGCCTCCCCAAACTCCTGGTCCCACCCTCTGTGCTTCTAACTGCTCCGTTTTAGTGAATTAAGAACTTAACCCCGCCCCGGCCCTGGCCTGCCTCGGGAGGGGCTGGGTGGTGCCCCAGCCTCAGTTTGAGTGCATGGGGGAGCCCAGCGCAGAGACAGGCACAGGGGGAAGGTTTCCCCCTCTGGGAAAGGGACCGAGGAGTACAGCGTGGTGAAGTGGGGGCTTCCGTAGCCCGGAGTGCCAAAGCAGGGCCCCGGGGCCAGAGGAAAGGTCACGGCCCCCCCATGGAAGGGAGACCCCGCAGCCTCGTACTCCTCTCGCTGGGCATAGTCACTGCTCGATCGCTTGCCCTTCTGGCGCCGGTTACAGAACCACACTCGGACCACCTGGGGGGACGCAGGAGAGGGGCGCTGCACACGACCGACCCCCAGGAAGATAGTTGGTCAGGGCAGGGCGGGGCGGCTCCGGAGTGGAGAGGGCAGAGCAGCAGGGAGGGAGCCTGGAGGCGGGGCGGGGCGGGGCGGGCACTCACGTCTTTCTCCAGCCCCAGCTGCTGGGCGATGCGGCTGATCTGCTGCAGCGTGGGCTTCGGGCACTGCAGGAACATGTTCTCCAGGTTGCCTCTCACTTGGTCCTCGATACTTGTCCGCTTTCTCTTCCGGGCCTGCAGGAGGCTCTCCGTTTTGCATTTCTGGGAAGATGGGAGGAAGGCAGGTGGGCTTTGGAGCTGGCGTTATGTGTGGGTGCCACGCTGAGGTGGAGGACTGGGGAGCTGAGTACTAGGAGGGATGACCAGCTGGGTCCTGGGGCCAGGGAGATGAGAACGGATGGGGATCCTCCCAGCCCAGCCAAAGTGCTAGAGGTTGAGCACAATCAGTGCATGCGCATCGGCAGCACAAAAAACAAACAGAAAAGAGGAACGCAGTAAGGCGTGGCGCACGCCTATAATCCCAGCATTAGATTTGGGAGGCTGAGGTGGGAGGGTCACTGTAAATTTGAGGCCAACCTGAGTAGTGAGACCTTGCCTCAAGAAACAGAATGGAGCGGGGAAATGAGAAACGTGCTGCCCTCTCTGGGAGGGGCAGGAGCTCTGCAGGCGGGGTGGGCGGCAGCCCTTACCTCCTGAAGGTTCTCGTTGTTGTTATCCGCCTCCTCCACCCACCTCTGCAGCAGGGGCCGCAGCTTGCACATGTTCTTGAAGCTCAGCTGCAGAGCTTCGAAGCGGCAGATGGTGGTCTGGCTGAACACCTTCCCAAAGATGGCACCCAGGGTGAGCCCCACATCGGCCTGCGTGTACCCCAGAGTGATCCTCTTCTGCTTCAGCAGCTTGGCGAACTGCTCCAGGTCTTTCTGAAGCGCGTTGATGTCCTGGGACTGCATTTTTAAAAAGGCAGAGGACTCAGAACCCAGGCTGCCAGTTTTCCATCCACTGCCTCTCTAGTGGGTGACCCCAAGGAACCAAGGAACAGTCGGAGGAGTTATCTCAGCTGCCCCCTCAAACCTCAACAAATAGCTGGTTTACCAGCGCCACTGGCCCATCCACTGCTCAATGAGGCTAGGAACACTTCCCAGGAAGGGCACATCCACTACACCAGGAGCACCCCTCAAAGGGCAGAATGAGGGGCCACTGCGCCCAGGAGGACACTGAGGGGTGAAGGAGACACACAGGGAGCTCCCACTTGTTAGCTCCATGCTCAAGGCCGGCTTCCCTGATCCAGGGTTACCTGCCCAAGGAACTTTAGCTGACTCTAATTAAATCCAAATACACTCTCTCCAGCTTGGTTCCAGAGAGGACTAGACATGGCACACACTGGAACATTACAAAAACATGTGCAAAGTGTGGTGAACACACCTGTAACCCAGCACTCAGGAGGCTGAGGCAGGAGGATCTCTGCATGTTTGAGACTAACCTGGGTTACAGTGAGTTCTAAGCCAGCCTGAATTACACAGCAACATCCTGTCTCAACATACAAGATGAAACAAAGTAAAACAACACCTCACAGTGATCAAGCTGGGAATGATGGTGCATGGCTGTAAGCACTTGGGAGGCTGAGGCAGGAGGATTGCCGTGAGTTTAAGCCCAGCCTGGGCGGCCTAGGGAGTTCAAGGCAAGCATGAGCTAGCCAGTGAACCTGGCCTCAAAAACAAAAGATCAATAGTAAAAAAATTAAAAATAAAAGAAATAAAAACCAATAGTAATCAGTGTCATAAGTAGAGAACGAACCGTAGGGGAGGGCCCGTGATTTTAAACATGATGTGGGGGCACGCACCTGTAATGCCAGCACTCAGGAGGCTGAGGCAGGAGGACTGCCATTATTTCTAGGCCAGCCTGAACTACAGTGACACCTTGCTTCTCCCCCGGCCCACAAAAAAAAAAAAAAAAAAAAAAAAAGAATCCCAAGGTGATTTCTGATGTCAGCGGGGGGGAGCTGAGTGGGGCCTGGCACACTTGGCGGGTTTAGCTCAGAATGAAATCATCCGGAAATGCCCACTTTCGGAAGATGCCTTGTCCTCAGCTGAGGAGGCACAGGTAGCTAGAGGCAGGTCTCGGGCGCCGGTATTTTGAAGGTTGGGACAGCAGCGTCTCCTAAGCAGTGGGCACAGATGACAACAGGGGCACCAGACACGGTGGGCTGTGCAGTGGGTGCTGGGGTGGCCGTCGCTCCCCCCAAGAGGGCAGACGCACAGTCACCGAAGGGCATGTGACAGTGGGGGTGGGGCGGCAGGAAGGGGAGCTAGAGCAGAGCTCGAGGACTGCACCCCGGGGCATCCAGAGGCGCCCGCAGGGGGAAGGCAAGCTGGGGGAGACTCCCGAGCTCAGCCTAAGGGCTCTGTGTGAGTGGCCATCACATCCAGGTAGGCAACGTGCGCACAGCCAGTGAAAACCAGGCTGTCCTCACTGCCTCTCAGCTCCCTAAATCCTACTGGGGATGTGGAGCAGGGCCAACACATCGCAGTCTAGCCTCATCAGGCAGTTAAGAGCCGTGAAACACGATAATCAGGCCTCCCCAGGAGCGGCGGACGTCCAGAGACCCCGCCACTGCCGAAGTGGCCCGAGTGGCCCCCAGCCCAGCCATGGTCACTCGGCATCACCTCCTGCCACAAGCCAGCCGGCCTCCCGTCTGTGCCCACCCACGGCTCCCAGATGCGACCCGCCTGGTGCAGGGCCACCTAAGAGTGGCCCAGGGACGGCGACTCCCACTGCATCTTTTGCTAGTTTAGAACTCAAGGAATCCAAGCTGAAATCAATCAAACCCGCACCTCCAGCTCCCGACGAGGGAGTGCGGCCAGCGAGTGGGTGCCCGAGGCAGAGGCCACCAGGCCTTCAGCTAGACCGCAGCGGAGGCCACTCACACGGCCATTCGCTATCAGGCCAGTCACACCCTGCCTCCAGGGACAATGCCGGGATAAGCACCATTTCTACCCCCAGGCCCTGCTTAGCCCTGAGGCCAATGCCCTGGGTTTGATAAGGGACAGATTTTTTTTACAAGGCCTGGGATGGGCAAAGGGGCTCCGTGCCTCCAGCTGGAGCTGGTGCAGAGCGGGTGGCACTGGCCGATCCCCACTAGGGCGGGCGGTGAAGCCCTGAGACCCCTGGACGAGGCTGAGGCCACGTCCGACCCACATTCAGAGCTTCAGGCTCCCTGGGGGTGTCCCGGCCCCAGCTCCTCGGTGACCTGCGTCCCCACCCATCCCCCAGGGTGGCAGAGCCACAGTGCCCTCAGGTTGCAGGCCTGGACAGCAGTCGCAGGTGACCACTTCCTGCCAACTGGCCGCCTCCCCGCACCCGGCAGGGCACCTCTCTCACCTCCTCGGGGTTCTGCTCCGGCTTCTCCTTCTCCACCTTCACCACGCCAGGGTGGGATGCGCAGGGCTCGGGGGAGGCCCCCTCCGAGCCGCTCTCTACCGGGGCTCCCACCTCACCGTCGGGTGGGGAGCCCTCGAGGCCACCTTGGGGCGCCAGGCCCACGCCAGCCTGAGGGCCGCAGTACGGCACCCCTCCGCAGAACTCGTAGGGCTGTGGGCACGGCAGGACGCCCCAGGCCTCAGAGCCCAGCGCGGCCCCCAGCCCAACTCCTGGCCCCCCAGGAGGGCCTTGGAAGCTCAGCCAGGTGCGAGGGTCAACCCAGCTGGGCTCCGGCCCTCCCGGGACATCACCCCCACCGCCCGGCGGGGGCGAGAAGGAAAAGTCAGAAGCCAGGTGTCCGGCCATGGGGAAGGAGGGACCCTCCAGCCGGAGGCCTGAGAAATGAGGGCCGCCGGCACCGCTCCACACCTCTCCCGGCCCAATCCCACCCCTAGCCTTGACCTGTGGCCCCGCCCCCAGTGGGTGGAGGAGGAGGTGGGAGAAACTGAGGCCCAGGGTGTTGACCTGGTGCTGCTGGTGTCTGTGGGACCCGGCTGGGCGCGCCCCCTGGAGACACCGTGTCTCCCTGTTGGCCTCCGGGGGCTGCCCGATCCTCCGTGGCACCGACACCTTCCTGGGACCACAGTGCCCCCCTGAGCCCCTCACTCACTGGGTGCCTGAGTGCGGAGTCCTCCCGGGCCACTCCTCGGCTCCTAACCAACGCTCTGCCCAGACGACCCCTTTACCTCCCACGCTGGCCAGAACACAGGTGTTCCCGCGGGACCCTGCCGTCCAGCCACCCGCAGCCTCGGCCTTGGCACCCATGTGGCCAGCCTCAGTCCCACCCATCTCCAGGGACAGCCGCTGCCTGAGTCCTCACCGACACAGGCACAGGGACCGACATCCATCTACTGCCCCTGCCTAGGCCCTGGACAGACTGGCCTGTTTCCCAACCAGAGTCCAGACTGGAGGCGAAGCCCCATACCCTCCAAGCCAGCCCTGCTGCTCGGGCCCAGCCCTACCCAGTGGGCATCTAACGTCAAAGCAGCCCGGCCCCTCCCCCACTGTCCCACCCAGGCCTCCAGCCTCAGTTCCTGGGGGAGAAAATCAAGGAGGTGGGGGCGTGCAGAGAAAAAATATCTGACTTCAGGTTCAAAGATGCCTGGGAGGGACTGGGGGGAAGGGGCCAGACAATGGCCTTGGCTGGACAATCCGGGTCCCCAGAGGGGGCAGCCTCCAACCCTAAACAAGTGCTCAACCCTTGAATGGACCTGGATGGCTCCCCTGGGGACAACTTCCTGCCCCCAACCCCCCAGCCCCAATCCCCTCACCCAGAATCCTCTCAGAGAGCTCCCACAACACCCCATCCCCTCAAAGACTGAGCCTCAGACGGGCACCGAGGCCTCCTGCCAGCACTGGGACCTGCGCCCCGCCCTCGTCCCGGCTGGCCAGCGGGAGGCACGGAGGAGAAGTGGGGCTGCTGGAAGCCTCCCTAAACTGCCCCTCGGGCTGTTTTTCTGGCTCGGTTGTGTTCTGAGGGCTCACGGTGCTGGCCCGGTGCTCAATTGTTTGCCGGTGAACAGCCCTCAAGTGTCCATCTGCACCAGAAGACATCTGTGTGTCTGTCTGCTCAGTCCCCAAACTCGTCCTGCTTGAAGGCCGAACAGAAACTGGGGCACTCCCAGCGGCTGGCAGGCCAGAGCCTGGACACCAGATGTCGGCCAAGCCAGGCCATCTCAGGCAGCTCCCAAGGGGCCAGGCAGCCTGGGGTCTCCGGGTGTGTCCAGCCTGGTCTGGAGGAGAGGTCCGTGTGTCCATGGAGCCCGAGTCCCCGGTCTCCGTCCTGGACCCACCCCCAACCTGACAGATCTGAGCGCTGTACCGCACCGAGGAGCTGAGCCTCCCAGGCAAGCCTGATCACCCACGCACAGTGGGGCTGCAGCTGCGCTCACCCTCGGCCACCCGACCGCCCGAGGCAGGTAGAGGAGGGGCCCCACAGGAGTGCAACAGGAGGGGCCTCCCAGCCGGCGGCTGCACAGGCACAGAGCCATCAGCACCTTTGTCATGCAGCTTCTGTGGTCTGCCAGAGACGGCCTCCCGGCGAGGGGGAGGGCTTTGCAGCCTGGACCCCCTAACCTCCCCCCCGGGCTTCTGGGACCCTCCCCGCTGGCCAGCCGACCTCCCCACTGTGTTCCCAGCACCTGCACCCCAGCTGCCCTGCTCCACACCACCCCTGGCTTTTGGTCGCTGTCTCCAGTTGCTCTAGGTAGTGTGACTGGCCTGAGCAAGGGGCTCATTCTGCAGAAAAAACAATAATAATAATTAAAAAATAATAAATTAGAAATAGGGCCAGGGATCTGGCTCAGGAGCACAAGTGCCTGCTTGGCAAGCGCCTGCCTGGCAAGCGCAAGGTCATGAGTTCGATCCCCGGCACCAAATAACTAAGTAAATAATAAAAATAAGCCGGGAATGTTGCTCTGCTGCGGAGTGCCTGCCTGGCAAGCACAATGTCCTGTGTTCAATTCCTGGTACCAAAACATAAAATAAAACAAATTAAAAAATCTTTTCAAGGGGGCCGGGGATTTAACTCAGTGTCATAAGCACCTGCCTGGCAAGTGCAAGGTCTTGAGTTCGATCCCCAGTACAAAAAAAAATTTTTTTAAGAGAGGCTCCTAGAAAGGACCCAGAGGTCGGGCACACCTGGGTCTCGGACTGCTGTGTGACTGGACACTGGACGCAGCAGCCAGATCACCCTGTGTTCGCCTGGCATCTGACCATCTGACTGGGCACCTGAATGTCAAATGTGTCTGGAGTCCCCACAGGCCCTTCCTGAGTGCTCAGGGCTCCAGTCCTGAGCCTGAGCCATGCTCCCCTCACCCTCTGGCCTGAGCCTCACAGCTGCCCCCACCGCGCAGGGCTCCTGGCCCCTCCCGGTTTGGAGGAGACTGGAAGCAGGGCCAGTCAGTGCTCAAGAGCAGTTAGGGGAAAACAGAAAACCAGAGGCCGCAGGCCAGGGTCTGGGCTCCACTCTGACTCTCCCAGCCAGCCGCACCCTACACCCGTGCCTCGGTTTCCTCTCCTAAGCAGGAAGCTGTGGGGTCGATGAATGTGGCCTCCTCCTGCCCTGTGCTCCTCCTCAGTCCCTGGGCACCTGTGACTGGAGGCTGGGCTCAGGAGCTGGCTGGCATGGCACAGCCTTTGCACCCCCTCTGCTGTGAGCAGTACCCCAGTTCCGGTTCCGCAGGGCTTCCCTTCCAGCCTGACCCTGAGAAGACGCCTGTGAGGGGCTTGGAAGCCTGGTCTGGACTGGGTTTTTAGGTGCTGGACCTTCCAGGAGGTAGCACTTCTGGACAGGAAGGAGAGGAAGAGGAGGACAGACAGTGGAGGGGCAGAGCGGGCGGGCAGAGCGGGCAGACTGAATGGCCCTTTCTTCCTGTTTTTCCTTTGCAGTACTGGGGGGACTTGACCCTGGGCCTCTGCTCTGAGCTATGGCCCAGAGCGCTGAAAGCTCCAAGCCAGCCTAAACTAAGGGGGAGACCCAGTCTCCAAACAAAACAAACAGCCAGGACTTAGCTCTGCGCCACAGTGCCTACCTGGCAAGAGCATCAGCAAGGTCCCAAGTTCGATTCCCAGGAGCCAAAAACAAAACAAAACAAACAAATTCATTTGGAGACTTCTCACTAAGAGAGCAGACGAGCTTGACCCAGCCATCTTCCTGCCTCAGCCTGCCAGAGTTGGGATTACAGGCAGGCACCTCCTCAGCAGGCCCTAGATGATGCTTAAGCTGTCTTCCAGCTCAGTCGGGGGTGGTGCCCACCTGTAACTCTAGCACTCAAAAGGCTGAGGCAGGAGGATGGCCGGATGGCCGTGAGTTTGAGGCCAGCCTGGGCTACATAGCAGACCTGTTAAAAACAAACAAAGTCTCCCCCTCTGGTGCTCAGGGTATCACACTGACCTGCCCTTCTTCCTGGGGAAGGCACTTCCAGCAACCACAATGACTCTGCAAAAGCCAGGAGCCTACAGAGGAGCCAGACGGGTGTACTCGGCTTGGGGGGCTCTGCAAGGTGACAACACATCTGCCCCTCCCCCAGAAGTCCAGTCTCTAATGCCACAGAACCCCGCAGGGCCACTGCTCACTCTGGGGCCCACGGGGGTTGGGTTGTGGCTCAGGGAGGGCAAGCAGGAGGGGTGATCTTCCTGCACAGCTGGCTGCGTTCCCTGGGACCGCGCGCTTGAGGCTCTGAGGACTCTGGGGTCAGGGACGCCCAACCTCAGTTTGGAAAGCCAACGGCCGGCCAGAGGCTGGAGGCCCAGGGCCCCACCTTGGGATGGTAGAGTCATATGCAACGACACAGTGCCTCGCGGGGCAAGGAAGAGTGAGGACAAAGGCGACCCCCAGGCCCCCAGATCAGAGGGCCCAGACCAAAGGTTGCCGCCCACCCTCAGTGCCCTGGAACGCAACTGGACGGAGCCCCCCCATTCGAGACAGTAGACGCGCCCGGCTGCCAGCGCTGGACTGGCTAACGCAGTGCAGTCCAGGCTTCGCTCCTCCCTCCCACTCCTCAGTCCCCACCTGCCACCTGCGCCCTCCGCTGTGGCCCCCGCCCAGAGGCCAGGCCTTCCCCTCCCCCATCCCGCAGTCCCTGGGCGCCGATGATCTGCTTTTCCTGGGGCCCACAGTGCACCGCGAAGGGCGTCCTGGACATCGTAGCTGTTCCGCTGGGGACTCACCGGGGTCCCCGTGGTCCGAAGGGTGACCCCAAAATCTCAAAGTCCCAGAACTCCCAAGTGACAAAGGACCAAAACAGGGGCCCTTTCTACCCCCATTCTTCTCGCCGTCCGCAACGCCTGGAAACCCCTTCCCTGACTCACAAACCGGCTCTCATCCTCGGAGACACAGCTTCTCCACGGCGGCGCACACCCGGGAAGTCCTGCGGCTGACCCTGCACCCCTGAGCCTGCCCCCTCTGTCCCCAGCACGCCGGGGCCAGGCATGTTACCGCTCCTGCCCACCACATGGCGCCTCCCCAAGGCGGGGACCATACACAGCATCACTTAAATCCCAGAGGAAAACCGGGTGTGGGGGCGCACGCCTATAACCACCCCCCCCCCGCGCGCGCGCGCACTCCAGGAGGCTGAGATGCAAGGATCACAAGTTCAAACCCAGCCTCGACAACTTAGGGAGCCTTTGTCTCAAAAAACTAAGAGGGCTGGGGATGCAGCTCGCTGCAAAGGCCTGGACTAAGTTCACCTCAGTACCGTCAAAGAGGAAACAAGCAGAGTGAACACCACCCACCCACCTGTGGCTGTGTATCTGTGACCAGTTCGGAAGCTCTCGGACCTCACTGGATTCACCCAGCAGCCGGAAGTAAGAGTCCTCACATCACACGTGAGGGTTAAAGGGGTCTCCGGATCCCAGCTGCTTGGGAAGCTGCAACAGGACTGCACTCCTAGTGAGACCCTGCCCCAGATAAAATAAAAAGAGCTGGGGGACAGCTCAGTCTTCCCCAGTTAGAATTCCTGGAACAGGGAAAAAAAAATTACCTGGGATGACACAAGCAAGGGTTAATGCAGAGATAGCAGTCACAGTTCAGGACAGAGCCGGAAGCTTGGCATGGGGGTGCACACTGTGGCCCCAGCACTCTGGGACTGAGTCAGGAGCACCGAAATTTAGGTCCAGCCTGATTTAGAGAGGCCTGGATTCCAAATACAAAACTTAAAAAGGGCAGGGGAAGGGGTGAGCTCAGTGTCTAGGGCCCTGCTCAGGCTGAGGAAGGGGTGAGTGGTGGGGAGGCAGTGTAGGGAGGGGGCTGCCCAGGACATGGGCACCAGGTCCTGAGAGAAGGTGAGGCCACACGGCTGTCAGGGCTCCAAAGGGAGGAAGAAGGGCTCTCCCCACAGGGCCCCATACAAAGTTTTGTTTGGGTTTTTTTTTTTTTTTTTTGGTCTTTTTTGTCTTTTTCCTTTTTATTGGTACCAGGGATCGAACCCATGACTGCCTGCTTGCTTATGCCACTGAGCTAAATCCTCAGCCCCCTATTTGGGTTTTTTTTAGACAGGGTCTGGCTATGCAGTCCAGGCGGCCTCCAACTCCTGGCAATCTTCCTGCCTCAGCCTCCCAAGTGCTGGCCCAGGCCCATTGCTGTGGACTATAGCGCTGTCTAGACCGCCGTATCTCTGCACTGCACATCAGTAAAGCCAGTCACCTGCCTGCTTCCTGACCGAATGCCCCATGACACCTGGATTTTACACAGCACAGCGGAGCCCGTGCCAACAGCCAGCAGAGCAGTGCCACCCTGAACCTTGGGCAGAGTGCAGTGGCTCTCAGCCTCAAGGCTGTTGAACATACAATGAGACAGAAGGTCCCCCGGGCTCATGGGAGCCCTGGCTGGATCCCCAGTATGGGGGAGGGCTCATAAGGAGAAGAGGGAGCAGCAGTGTGCGGTGGTTCACAGCTAGATCCCCAGCTGCCCAGGAGCTGACACAGAGGACTGCAAGCCAACCCTGCAATTTAGCAAGACCGCATCTCAAAAAAGTGGCCATGCACAGTGGTCTGTGGTCTGTGCCTGTGACCCCAGCACTCAGGAGGCCGAGACAAGAGGATACTGCAAGTTTGAGGCCAGCCTGGGCTCAAAGTGAGTTCAGAGCCAGCCTGAACTACATATCAAGACCTTGTCTCAAAAGAAACCAAAGCAAACCAGACAGACATCTATAATCCCAGCACTCTGGGAGGCTGAGGCAGGAGGATCACAGGTTCAAGTCCAGCCAAGGTAACTTAGTGACTTAGCAAACCCTGTTCGAAAATTTAAACAAACAAACAAACAAACAAATGGGCTTGGGATGTAGCTTAGTGCAAAGGTCCTGGGTTCAATGCCTAGTACCACTAAATAAAGAAAGAAAAGGTTTGGGTTTGTAGCTCAGTGGTGGAGCATTCCCAGGTTTGGTTGTCAGGTACTGCAAAAAGAGAAACCTAGAATAATGCTTCTGAGTATTAGAGTGAATACTCCGTAATAGGAATCTCAGTAAGAACACTAAGGCATATTTTGAACAAACAGTTGCTATCACTGACTCTGTTTGGGAAATATCTCCATATCCTCTCACCCCTTCAGACAAAGGCTTTTTTTTTTTTTTTTTTTTTTTTTGGTCTTTTTGAGACAGGCCCTCACTATGCAATTCAGGCTGGCCTTGCACTCACTTTGTAGCCAAGGTTGGTCTCAAACTTGCAGCAGTCCTCCTGCATCAGCCTTCCAAGTATGTGCCACTGTATCAGGCTGAGACAAGGTCTTGCTAGGTAGACTAGAAGTTGAGACTTTTCTGCTTCAGCCTCCAGTGATCTGGGATTACAGGCATGTGTCACCATGCCCAGTCCCACTCACTTTTTGGGGGTTGAGATAGGGTCTTGTTTTGTAGTTTAGGCTGGCCCTGAACATCCTATTTAGCCCAGGCTGGCTTTCAATTCAGGCAATCCTCAGTGAGCCTCAGCTTCACTGAGGATCACTGGAGTGCCCCACCACACCGGGACTTATCCTACTTAACTGACTTCTTACGATAAAAGTAACACGAAGCTGGGCAAATCTGTAATCCCAACTACTTTGGAAACTGAGGCAGGATTTCGAGGCCAGCCTGGGCAACTTAGTGAAACCCAGTCTCAAATCAAAAGATGAATGCAGGACTCAGCTTAGTGCCCCCAGGTTCACCTCCCATACCAAAGACCTGCTGTAAGCACCCAGGGGACGCAGTGCTCACCAGATCTTGCCTTTGTCCCCACCTCAGAGCTGTGCTTATCCCCGGCCACTTCCTCACAGCCAAAGCCTCCACCACTTCCCAACCTGTCAGATTTTCTTCTTGCTCCCGAGTGCTGAGGACTGAACCTGAGGCCTCACCCTGAGCTCTATTTCCAGCCTCCACGCCCTGAATTTTTATTTTGAGACAGGATCTCCTTCCCTTAAGTCATAAATGAGTCCCCTCAGTTACCCAGACAGGGCTTGAATTTGTGTTCCTGCCTCAGCCTTCCAGAGAGCAGGGATTACAGGAGGCTGGGCTGGACGTGACTCCTCTGCAGTCAGCCTCTTTGGTCAGCATATAAATCCTGCTCTGGAGCCGCCCCCTCGCCTCAGCCTCCAGCGATCTGGGTGGCTCGGTGGGGTTTACAGTCGCTGCTTCCCCCTCCGCTCCCCTCCCCCCCACCCTGCCTGGCAGCTGTCTCCCAGATCTGGAGAGGGGTCACGGTCACGACCCACCCCCAGGTCAGGCTCGGTCCCAAACTCCTCCGCGGCCTACAGGGGGCCCAGCTCCAGGAGCCCCACCCCGCCCCGCCCCACTCTGCGAACCCCGCGGTCCGGCCAGCCCCGCCCCGGCGGGTCAGCGAGGCGTGCAAGGCGGGCTCCACACGCGCCTGAACGGCGGCGGCAGGGGAAGCTGGGGTGCGAGTACACTCCCAGGACCCTGCGTCGGCAGGCAGATCACGCAGCCCTTCACCCCGGTCCGGTCCGGGTTCCGGGCAGCGCTCACCCCAGGCCCCTGGCCGCGCATGGCTGCAACTCAGGACCCACACGGCCCTACCGCCCGCGTGTGCGTGGGGCACAGCCAGGCTCTCGGTGGCGGTAGTGGTGTTGAGGGTTCGCCTGCGTCGGCTTCCCAGGGAGGGCCCTGCCATGGGTGCGGGGCGCGCGGGAGGAACGGGGACACCGTAGGGCCCCCACGCACTCCTCCCCGCCCTCCGCAGCCCTGAGGGCGCCGCGGAGAACAAGCACGCGGGCGAGCGGAGGGCGTGCTCCTGGGGGGCTCTCATTGGCCGGTAGCGCTAGGGAGGCGGGGCTTTCTCTTTTCCTTAAATCCTATTGGTCTAAATTTTGGCAGAATCGCGCTCCTCTGCCAGCTTTGATGCGAGCGATTTGGGCTGAGGGGTTTTGGCGGGAGGTGCGTTTTGATTTTCAAGCCCCACCTCAACATTAAATATGCTGCGGTTTTTGTTTTGTTTTGGGGGGCTGAGGACTGTAACTCGGGCTTCATTCATCTTAGGCCACCGCTCTGCCACTGAACTGCACCCCAGCCCCAGATTATTATTCTATTATTGGCATCTTTAAAATTCACTTTCAGGGAGCTGGGGATTTAGCTCAGCGGCATAAGCGCATGCCTTGCAAGCAAGCAGTCGTGAGTTTGATCCCCGGTACCGATAAAAAGGAAACAGCCAAAAAAAAAAAAAAAAAAAAAACACTTTCAGGGTTTTCCTTCGCGGCCGCTCCTGTAGTCCCCAGCCCTGGAGCCTGAGGTGAGAATGCGCTGGAGTCCGGAGCCAGAGACCTGAGATGGGTTCATGAACAACAGTATAGGAATCCAAGCAGCCAGACTGATAAATTTGGAATTTAATATCTGACCTCTGGACCACTCGTACACAGACACCCCCCCCCCCTCAGGGCCCAAACAAGTGGCCCGGAACTGGAAAGTCACAGAGTTTTTAAAAGAACCATAAAAGGCATCCTGTTGGAAACAATTTAGCTCGAATCTTTCATTAATTTGC